GGGTGGGGGGGGAGGCCGCAGAGCAACTCCCGTGTTCTTTTCAAAGAGGGCAGCGGCCTGCTGGGCTTCCCTTTGGCCCCCTCTGGGGCTCGGCTGCCCGGGGGCGCCATGGCCAACCCCATGGGCCGCCCGGGCTTCATTTTCGAACATCCTTTTCTACTCTTTGCAGTCCGGCACATGCTACACGTCCGCAGTGAGCTGAGCATGGCGTGGCGGGTCGGCCCGTCGTCTTGCATTGGCTGCATGAGGGCATTGCGGAGGCTTGGCCGCCGTCGCGCCAGGCCACGGGCCTGCAGGCAGGCTGAGCGGGCGAGCCCCGACAGTGTCTGATCGGACGGATGCCACGAGCGTGCACGTCATCGGGGGGTTTGTGTCAACCGCTCAGGCGCGAGCTCGGCGGGCGTGCGCTGGCTGAGGCCACCACCGTCACTGGCGACGCGAAGGCCGCCGCCGCAGCGCAGCAGCCGCATTTCGAAACAGGGTCAGACTCATGCTCGAGCTGCTTGAGAGGGTAAGAGTCACCCTGCACCAGGGCGTCGTTGCGTGAACGTGACCCATCTGTGTCCGGGCCGCACACGGCCTGTGACCAGTCTATGGCTCGGCCACGCCCCGCTTGTGGCCTGTCCGTGACAAGTCCAACGCCCAGCCTGTGACCAGTCTGTGACTGAGCCTCGCCCTGCCCGTGACCCTACCGCCTCCAACCAACCCTGTGACTGGTCTATTGCCAGGCCGCTCCTAGCCTGTGACCCGTCTATGATCGGTCCGCGCACAGCTGCCTTTGTGACTATGTAGTTTGTGACCAGTCCGCGTACAGCCTGTGACCAGTCTGTGACCGGGCCGCGACCCCGTCCCGTCCTATTTATTAGGGGCGACTTGCAAATGGCTCTGCACGAGAAGACTGTGTCCTGTCAACGTTCATGAATAATACACCACGGCCAGCCTGCTGGCCGGGGCTCTGCAGAGCGGGGTGGGGCCCGCGCGCACGGCTCATGGCGGTGAACAGTCCAGTCCCGCCCCTGCCTGAACCACGCCCCGGGAGAGGGAGAGAGAGAGAGAGAGAGAGAGAGAAGGGGTGACGCGCCCCGATCTTTACGCCTCTCATTTCCCTAATCGTATCTTTCACGGAGTCCGAAGCGAAAATACTCAAGCGCTGCCAGCGCGCCCCGCCGCCTCAATTTTTTATGCACGGCTAGAGTTTCTAGAGACGCGAGCGCGCGCGGATAGACAGACGGCAGGAAGCGTGGAATAAAAGACGCCGGATCCGTTTTCTGTTGTGTTGTTCGTTTCTCCTCCCAAGATCTGTGAGCTTTAGGGAGATTGAAAACCTGCTGCCGGCGCTGCTTGTGTAAATCTGGCTCAGCTCTGTTGTTGCACCCAGGACACTCCCTGCCGGCCTGATGCGGCCGATGCTCAACTTTCTTCAATTCTTATCCCGAATTTATGTGTGGTGCCATGTTTCATTTCCTTTTATTCTGGTACTGCACCCGACTGCACTTCCTGAGTGCTTTTCGTTTTCGAAAAGTTTCTAGGGTAAAAAGGTTTTGATTTCAATGAAAGAGAGTAGGTTTCAGGTAATATTATGCTTTATTTATACACACTTTAAGATCACATTATCACAGTCATTTAATAAAAAATAACATTCCAATTATAATGACTATTTTATAATGAATGGTGTACATCATGCAACCCATTCTTTATTTATCATTTCCCGCTCCAACATCTTTCCACATTCCTCATCAGCTACAAGCTTACTTTGTAACCACTCCGAGCAAAAAGCGAAAAAGCCTACATTAATTCTTTCTCACTTTTCCACACTCTACGTTGGACCTATCAGGCTCGCCACTGCGGGCTACACCACATCGACTCAGGGCCAGCACACTAAATACAAAAATAACCACTGATGGACAGACAAGAGTAGCGACACAAGCTTCACTGAGATAGGGCTAATGAATTCTGTATTTCTCAGATTACAGTAGTATCGTAAATATTGGGGTATACTGCTAGAAGTTCTTTTTTAACCATGCACATTTTCACGAAAACATCAATAGCGTACAATATAACTCCTATAAGTGATTTTAGCGACAAATACAGAAGTGTAACATAACTTTTTTCCACAAAGACTCATGCAAGGAGTAAGTTTCTTAAAGTTTACATAAAACACAAACTATTACTAGAAACCCTCATTTTTTTTGTATGTTTTGCATTTTTACCATACCATATTTTTTACAATGGAAAGTTATGTGGCGAATTCTTAACCCATCATCGCAAAAATATGCTTTATCCATTTTTAGTGTGTACTTTACTTACGTCGTGTTCGGCCCCCCGGCTTGCAGATAGGTGCACTTTTCACACACGCACAACTACTAGTGTGGCCTTTGTCCAACTCAAGAACACAAAGTAACAAACCTCACCTTCTTCCTCTCCCTCTATCAATTTTTTAAAAGTCTTCATTTTTTTTTACGGAGCTTTTTTCCCCCTCCCTATTTCCTTTTCTCACTGTATGTCTTCGCCCCGCCTACGCGCATGGCACTGATATGTCCGACATCAATACGAAGGGCAGCGCGGTCAGTCTTACGATTATATTATAAAAAGTGCGCAGTGGGCAACTTTGGTAGGTTGCTTTGTGGCGCGGGGCTCAGCAGCGGCGGCGTGGCGCAGCGAGGCGTGGCACGCGGGCCCCTGGCCAGGCTCCACGCCCCGCCACGCCACGATCAACGCCCTGCATTCACTTTGGAATTGTTTGCAGCAAACCACAAAAAAGAACAAGATTTTACTGCCATCCGCGAACCTTTTCCAGATCTGCGTGAGAAAGTTGAAAACAATATTGAAAACGAAAGAAATTAATTAAAATTACTAGGACAGCTAGAAAGTCTTTGAAGATATTCACGAACGACGACCCTCGAAAAATAGTCCCAAAAGAGGGGAAATGGCTGAAGGGAAGACGGAACAGTCGACAATCGGTCGGATCTGCACCCTCTTGATTTGAGTCAAATTTATAGTCATGAGAAAGGTTTATAACACAGACTGGAAAAGTTCTCAGTTGTAATGGAGTGCATTTCCTTATACCCGTAGCGATTGAACCAGTTCGAAAAGGGACATTGAACACATTACAATTAAGCGTTTTTCGGTTTAGTTTTTTTAGTCTTGGAGTTAGATCTCCGATCATCTACGAAAAAGCCAAAATAACCGCTTCTGCATGCCACCCCCTACTACACAGGAGGCTCCTGCCTAATAAAAATAGTCCCACAAATAATATATTATATAGCTCTGACTGCAGAAATGACATCCGAAACACAATCGCTAAAGAAAACAATGGTTTAAATTACAAGTGTTAACTACACAGCAGGGTGCGCCGTAAAGTAAAGAGTATGACTCAAAGGTATACAAAATAAGGGCATATAACTAAGACAATGAACAGAATCACAGGCTAACGCCGAATATAAACAGTTTACATTTTTTCTCAGAGTAGACAAAAAATAGATTTATTGTAGAATGCACAGGTAACATCTACCAAGTTGCGTCCCATTCGACTACAGGACATCTCCACTACACATAACACCTCTGTTTTTTTCTTTCTTTCCCCCCCTCCCCCCTGAATTCCTTTTCTTCTCAGGTCTGAAGATACATGTTCAACAATTACAACTTACTACCCTGATAAAAACGGTTTGTTAAACACATCACTAAAAGAGGCTATAACAAGTCGGATATCGTTCACCACAGAGAGTGCCACAGCAAAAGTGGGCGCGCACCATCTTCCCACCGCCGTGATGTATGCTTGTTAATTACAAATTACATATATAATATATACTATGCATTACAATGTACAAACAAACATAAACAATAAAAGAATTAATCAATCAGTGCCTCTTTCTTTTGGGCCGAGCCGAAGTTGCGTGACAAACACCACCCTCGGCTCCAGGCCACATTTAAAAAAAAACTCCCAATCCGCAAGTGGCCAACACACCGTGAAGAGAACAAAGGACGCAAAATCAAACTCAAAGGTAGAAACAAAACTTTCTAAGACAAAAAAAATGATATAAATAAAAACGAAAAATAATATTTAATATATAAAATAAAAATTTGGGGCAGACGGTGCGCCCCAGCACGGCAGCGAGCGCTTCAGGGGGCTATAAGAGCGCTACAGCTCGCTGCCGCGCTGGGACCCCAACGTCCCATCCGCTTCACGATATCCTGCCGACTGCACGGGGGGGACACCCCCACCACACACACACACACACACACTCACACACATGCACACACTCACACATACAGGCTTTGGCTAACTACACGGGGACCAGGCGCAGCAGGCTGTCCGAGTTCCAGAGCACCCTGGTGTCGTCCTCGCGCTCCCTGCAGTGCGGGAACATGGCCCCCCAGGCCACCGAGCCGAGGGGGGCCAGCGGCGCGCCCAGGGGGTCCGCGGCCGTCGCCCCGGGCACGGGGGCGGCCACGGGCACGGGGGCGTGCGGGTGGTGCTGGTGCTGGGGCGTGCCCTGGTGCGGGTACCACACGCTCGCCGCCCCCGCCGCCGCCACGCCCGCCGCCCCCGCGGCCGCCGCGGCCGCCGCCGCCGCCGACTCGAAGGCGAAGCCGGAGGCGTTGAGGTGGAGCATGGCGTCGGACCAGGTGGAGGGCGTGGCGCGCGCGCAGTCCTGCAGCGTGCGAGACGACCGCGATCTCTTCACGCCGCTTCGCCGAGCCTGCAACAAACAAGACAACAAAAACCGTGAGTCCAGGGGTTCCAGGCGGTTCCAGGGGTTCGAACACCGAGAGGAGGATCATTTTCCCCGGCAGGTGGTGTGCGTGCTGGAGGAGTGCTGGAGGCGTGCTGGGGGCTCCAGGTCCTGATTAGGCCGGCAGCAATCTAAATAACTATTGCTTGTCCGAAGGGGTAATCTCGCTCCATCTCCAGGGGGCGGGCGGCGGGGAAGCGAGAGAGAGAGAGAGAGAGAGAGAGAGAGAGAGAGAGAGAGAGAGAGAGAGAGAGAGAAGGGAGAGCACGAAACGCAGAGGGGCCGGGCCCATCTGCACGAGATGAGGGAGGGAGGGAGGGTGGGGCGAGAGGGACAGAGAGAGAGGGGAAAATAAAAAGATGAAAAGACAGAGATTACCGAGTTGCAAATTCTCAATGCCCGCCTCCACTCCGCATAACAATTTGCCCGCGCCAGGGCCCTTGTGCTGCGTCCCGAGCGGCAACGGCGGCGGCGTGCAAGATCACGCACTTATTCGGCTGTTGGAGGCGGAGGAGGCCGACGACTCTTGCTTTTCATTTCTTATTTCGCACGGCGTGTCGTGGCGCGGCGATCCGCCTCCCATCGCCTCACTTTACGGCTGTGCAGGGCCGGGTCGGGGGCGGGCCGGGGGCAGGGAAGGGGGGTGAGCGTGGAACACAACAAGCCACTTATTCTAACGCCCATCTTGCCTGTTTCCCAAAGACGGGGGAGCAGCAGCAGCCGACGAGCTCCTCCCAGCCCAGCAGCGGACCTGCTGCTGCTGCCGCCGGAGAGTAAAAAGTTTAGCCCAACAAATTGAGGCCGATCGACATTTCGAGTTGTGTCTGTCCGTCCGTCCGCCGAGATGCCCCTCCGTCCCGCCCGGGTCCGGGGCTATATACATTATTGGACCGGTTTTTGATAGGCTTTTGATGCTCCCCGCGGCGGGGCGCGGGGGGGCGCGGGGCGGGTTGCGTGTCGCGCCTATCGGGGCGCCCTGGCCTTGCCGTAAGTTTTGGCGCGACCCGCCCCATCCCATGTAATCTGATCCACCAGGAGGAGATGACCGCGGCGTGGCCAGAGCCGGGCCGGGCCAGAGCCGGAGCTCCTATCCAGAGCCAATCCGATCAGAGGACGACGGCGACGACGAGACACGACCGAATCGTCAGCATCAAACGCGACCGGACGACGGCCGAGAGGCGTGCCGTGCTGAGCCTCAAGATAAACAGAGGGACCCGACCCGTCCATTCAAAAAACCCCGCGAGATAAAATAACGAAAAGAGACTTTTTATTTATTTTCCTTCGTGGCACTTTTACCCTGTTAAACCTTCCCTCGAGTTTCTTTCATTTCTTGACGAAAAGTTTACCGCCAGGGTGGCGGCGGCGGTCTGACGATGGGGAAGGCGATGCAGAATTCATCAAAACGAACCGATAAGGAATTAATTAACCGGACCACACCAACGAGAGAGAGAGGGACAGAGTCAGGGGAAAGGGGACGGGAGTCGCGATGCACGCTGGCGATCGTAGTATCCCTTCTCTCGCTCTTTCGACTTCCCGGATTGAAAACTCGTTGCCATTATGAAATCAGCGCTCGAGATGCATTTACATACCAAGGGGAGGTCGGCTACAGCGCGGCCCCTAAGCAGGCTGGCGCACGGAGAGGATTGAGGGGAGGGGGTTGGGAGGCCCTCCACTACAGCCGTTCGTGCTCGTGCATTATATTTTAGGAATATGGCACGTCCTGCACGGACGAGAGGGGTAGGCTTGGGGAAGTCGGAAAGTCGCCCCCTTTTCCCCGTTTCCCATCTCTCTCACACTCTCCGTTCCTCGCCTGTCCACTCCACTCCCTGGAGAAAACTAAGCCAGAAAATATGCCCCAGACACCAGCACTGGCCACGTGACCAACGGGCCGACCCCCCTACTACACTGCCATGAAAAATAAAAGTAACACGTTTGAAAAGGGGTGGCGAGGAGTAACTGTAAGGGTGCTGACTATTGAATGTCGTCCTAGTGCATTGGGGGCGTAAGTGACTTGACCGGGAGGTAGAAGTGGGGAGGGGCGGGGGAGAA